TTCAGTACTCGGTATGGAAGCCAGGGCTCTTCAAGTGCTTTACTGCTGAGAGGTGCACTCTCCCCCCATCTCACGGCTGTTTTTTCTTTTAAGATGTATTTATATATTTGGTGTATATGGATGCTTTTTCTGCATGTATGCCTACATGCTAGAAAAGGGCATCAGGACCCATTACAGATAGTTGTGAGCAACTGTATGTTTTCTGGATATTGAATCATGTCCTCTGGAAGAGCAGCCAGTGCACTTAACCAACGAGCCATCTCTCCAGCCCTGCCCCCATGTAAAAGGGTTCCTGGTACATGTCTTTATGAAACTCAATATCTTGTATTATTTTCCCTGAATTTCAGGCCACTTCTTCATTTTTCTTCTATGTTTGTTTGGTTTGGCTTCTTTTTCTGCTGTGTTTGGAGATCAGGGTTAGGGCTAGAGTGCTGTCCCTGTGAGCTGTGTCCACAGCTCTGGGTTGCTCTGTCAGGAGTAGGGAGCGGGCAGGACTACCAGAATAATGGAGGGAGAGCTGTTGTACATAGTCCTTGATTGATTTGGTGATGTCACTCGTTTGACGTAGTGCACTGCATAAACTACTAAGCCCAGCACTCAGAAGGCTGTAGCACAAAGAGCCCACATTTGAATCCAAGGCCAGCCTGGGCTACATAGTGAGATCCTAACAAAAAGATGGTATTGAAGACTCAGTATTGTCTTTAAAAAAAAAAAAATGTGTGTGTGTGTGTGTGTGTGTGTGTGTGTGTGTGTGTGTGTGTGCGAGCCACTTCTTCACAAATCCATGGTTTCTGGGAATACTCAAATAGGTCCAATAAAAAGCATTTTAGGTCCAAGGCCAAGTATATACAAAGGTCTAAAGTGCTGAGACATCGCCAGATGAGGGAGGGGAAGGGCCCTTCAAGTAATTGCCATGGTCCCACTGAGCCCACAGAGCTCACACTGGCCCACAGAGAGCTGATTGGAGAGCCAGACTTACTCAAAGCTTATTTGATATAAAATTGAAGGCAATGGGGAGCTATGGAAGGATTTAGACTACAGCTTTTAATATAGCTGCTTTAATTATACTAATCACAAGTAATGTATGAGTAGATTTTTAAATTGTTTTATGTTTATGTGTGTGCCTCAGGCGTGCACCATAGGCGTGCAGTGCCAGCAGAGCCTGGATGTTAGGTTCCCTGGAGCTGGAATGCTGAGTGGCTGTGAGACACCACGTAGCTGTTGGGAGTTGAACCCAGGTCCTCTGCACGAGCAGCCAGTGTTCTTAACCACTGAGCCATCTCCAGCCTCATGAGTTTTTTTTTTGTTTGTTTGTTTGTTTGGTTGGTTTTGTTTGGTTTTCTTTTTGGTTTGGATTTTGGTTTTTGAGACAGGGTTTCTCTGTGTAGCCTTGGCTGTCCTGGACTCACTTTGTAGACAAGGCTGGCCTAGAACTCACAGAGATCTGCCTGCCTCTGCCTCCCCAAGTGCTAGGACTAATGGCGTGTGCCACCACACCTGGTTATGTATACATTTTTATATAAATGTATACACTAATCTACAGTGAAAACTTTTATTCATCGTTTATTCAATCCGCAATTTCTGCTCAAATCTAACAATTACATTGTTTCCTGTCTATCTTTCAAAAATTGCCAGGGAACCACCTGGCATGCCTTTGATCCCAGCATTCAGGAAGCAAAGGAGGGCAGATCTCTGAGTCTGAGGCCAGCCTGGCCTAGTCTACAGAGTGAGTTCTAGGACAACCGTGGCTACACAGAGAAGCCCTGTCTTGAAAAACCAAATAAGTAAAATTAAAAAAAAGAAATGTGTGTCTATGTGCATGTGTGTGTGTGTGCAAGTGTTGGTAGGGCCAGAGAAGATAATTAGATCCCCAGGAGCTGGAGTTACAGGTGGGTGGCTGAGTGTCTGACGTGGCTGGTCCTCTGCAAGAGCAGCGACAGCTCTTAACTACTGAACCAGCCGTCGTCCAGCCCTCTGCCAGCTATCCTCAGACATGCATAGATATGTCTACGGTTGTTCTGTATATTTTTAAACAAATGTTATCTTGTCAAATGAGAAACAAGCCCATTGTGACGGCACACACCTGTAATCCCAGCACTCAGGAGGCAGAAGCAGGAGGATCTGATCTATGTTTCACCAGAGACCTCTCAGACAATGAGCTTAAGCCAATAGGAAGTCTTTTTAGCCGCCAGCAACTACATTGGGTATTAGTGATCCTAGTGTAGCCTGAGCCTTTCTCGGTGAGTTTTTTGTTTTGTTTTGTTTTGTTTTTTTCCAGAGCTGAGGACCGAACCCAGGGCCTTGCGCTTGCTAGGCAAGCGCCACTGAGCTAAATCCCCAACCCCTCTTGGTGAGTTTTTAAGCACAAAAACCATGTCCTGGGTTGACATACTTCAATGAACAAAAACAGCCAGAAGCAGACTACATAAGCCAAAAAGCAAGGTTAGTACTTTTAGAGATTTTCCCAGAACTAAGGACTTTGATGAATTAGGTGTTTTCGTTTTCATTTTTGGTAGATGGTGTTGTCTATGTGCTGAGTTTTACAGCCCAAATATACTTCCATCATGGAGTCAGTTGTGCTAAATTCTGGGGCCTGTTAGACTTGGTCCTTTTATTGAGTTCCAGGCCAGCCAGGGCCACAGAATAAGATTCTGTCTTAAGGCACTCTCTCCACTGTCATTCTACCTGCCTCAAGTTTGGGACAGTTCCATAAGCCCCTGGGCCCCTTATTTACTTTGCTTGGTATTCACAGCATATTTTGTGAACATTCCACCTTTCCAGTGAGAGCCTCACACGGGCGTAGACGCTGTGGGAACATCCAGCAGATGCCGCCCAGGACAGCTGTAAATTCTTAGCACTCTGCCCAGCAGGCCTGCCCAAGCTGTGGCCTGCCTGGCTCAGTAGTCTGCAGCCAACAGTTGTGCATTACCAAGACAGTTGGACTCGCAGGTGCTAAACACTGTGCTGGAGTTAAGGCCAGACAGTGTGCTTGCCATATGTTGTGGAACAACTGAGGACACAACCCTGTGGGGCTTCTCGGAGACACAAAACTTCTAGACCTTTCACATTGTAAATATATATATATATATTTAAAACAAAGCTTATCTACCATGTGTTTGGTGAAGAGCTCTGAGTTTTGTGAACTGGTAAAACCTCATTTCAGATTCTATATCTGCCCCCTTTTTTTTTTACTATAATTTTAAGCAATTCAGTCAGCTTTGAGATACAGTATCAGTAAAACTTGACTTTGAGATCCCTAAGCCTTTTGAGGGTTGAGACATCACTATGCTTTGGGGGAAATGTGTCTGGTATTTCTCTAAGTTCTAGACTAGAACCTAAGACTCCTGAGCCATAGTTCAGTGGTTTTATTTTTTGAGGGTGTTTCGTTTTGTTTTGTCTTAGACAAGGTCTTACTATGCTTTGTAGCCCTAGCTAGCCTAGAGCTCAAAATGGAAACCAGGCTGGCCTTGAACTCAGAAACCTCCACCTGCCTCTGCCTCCTAAGTGCTGGGATTCATGGTGAACACTAACACACCTAGTCAGTGATGACTAAAGATGTAGTTTACTTGGTAATACCTTAATATTAATTTCAAAACAGTGTCTGACTAAGGGCAAAGCTCTCAGGCCCTTTAACAGGATATAAGTGCTCTCCAGCCCTGGAGAGATGCTGGACCACAGGGTCAACAAACTTGTTCTTCCAGAGGACCAAAACTGAGTGTCTAATACTCAATTCAGGCTGCTCATTTAGCCGGCAGTTCCAGCTCTAGGGGGTCCAAAGCCCCTTTTCTGGCCTCTGTAGGTACCAACACACATTTCACGCACACACACACACACACACACACATATCCGGGGAAGGGGGGATTAAAATCTAGGGTTGAGGGATGGCTCAGAGGTTAGAGAGTACATACTGCTTTTGCGCCCATGTTGGGCAGCTCGCAAATGCCTGTAATGTCATCTCTAGGGCATCCAGTACCCTCTCCTGCCATCCTTACACACTACACTGCACCACATGCTGTCCCACAAACACAAAAGTAAAAATAGTAAAGTACATAAATTCTCCCTAAAACATTAGGATCCCTACAGGTTTTCAAATAAGATTTACATATATATAAATATATATGTTATAATGTTATATATAACATATATGTATAATATATATATATATATTTGTTTTTTCTAGACTGGGTTTCTCTGTGTAGCCCTGGCTATCCTGGAACTCACAAAGATCTGCCTGCCCCTGCCTCCCGAGTGCTGGGCCTAAAGACATGTGCCACCACACCCGGCAGGTTATTGAATATTATCACACATTATTTCATAAAAAAAACTACTGTAATTACTGAAAGAAGTCATGATGTGTGCCACATCTTTCGTAGGAACAATGATCAGAATGTGCCTGACAGAAGAGGACAGAAGAGGGCAAGCCTGGTGCCGAGTAGGTGCCCTTCAACATCAGCCCAAAGCTGCAAAAGGAGACAGGGCCTCGAAAGGAGGTCCGAGGGGACGTCAGCAACTGTATAAAAGGGAAAACAGTCTTGCCGAGAAAGAGCGCGCAGCTGAAGGGGGTGGGAGCGGGGGAAGCAGACAGAGAGCAACGGAGGGTCATCAGAGTACTTTACATGAGTCTAGATGTCGCGAGTAAGCCGTTGTAATAAGCTGATGTACACCAATCAAAAAAGAAAAGCCTGTGTCAAGCCGCATTCACCACAGCCAGGGCCCAAACGTGTCTCTCCCAAAGCTCGAGGACACCAGAAAACTGAAGGCAGAAGCAGATCCCCGGGGCCTCCCGCCCAGACTTCCGCTGCCATAGCTTCCTTCTCCGCGCTCCTGTCAGACAGGTGACCGAGGACCGACCCCTGCCCACCGCCAGCCCTGGCTCCATCCTCCGCACCCCGCTAGACCAACTAACCGCACAACCCAAGTCTCCCTTCCGGGGCTCCGGGCCAGTCCCGTCGCCATAGTGACCGCCAGAGTCCCGCCCCTTCCTCGCCATCTGGCCCCGCCCCTCGGAACCCGGAAGCGGGAGGTGCGCCCGGGGAGCTACCCGTTCCAAGCTGGGGAGGCGGCGGCCTCCGGCTGCTCCGCCGCGCGCCCCCTTTGCCAGCTGCTCCCGCGGGGCCTCTGCTCTGCAGCTGCTCGGCCCTCCCGCGCCCCTCCGCCTGCAGCCGCCGCGCCCGGACCGGGGCAAAGAGTCATCTGGGCTGAAGAGAAGGGGACGCGGGGGCGGCCACGGCAGGTGAGGGGCAGGCCCCGGAAAGCCGGAGTGTGGGTGTGTGGTGCGCGTGGGGTTGTAGGTGGGTGTGTACCGAGCACGCGTGACTTGGGAGCCTAGTGCACGAGTGGACCGGTCCTTGTGACCATGCACGTGATCCAGATCCGCGTTTCTGTCTAAGGCCCAGCCTCCGTGCATTGCGGATGGTCGTTGTGCCTGTGAGCCCACCGCTGTGTGGCTGAGCTAAGTGGGACCCAGGAGCACTTTATGGGGATTGGTACACAAAAGTCTTAATCAAACATCCTCATTTTCTTGAGCCACCCATCCTGGGGCTGTGGGCCAAAAACTCGGGAACATTTGGTTTCAGTAAACTTTTAAGAACTGCGAGTAAAGGCAAGTTGTTCTGGAGCTCCTCAGACCAGGTGTGAGGCTTGTTAATGAGTCATGAGGAACGTAGCGGGGCTACAGTGTCTTTTTCCTTCTTTTCCGAGGGAGTCAGGGGTTAGGCTGATGCTGTTGCTTTGTCTCCATCTGCAGTGGTCCCGCTCCTTTTGGTGCAAGGATTCTTCAGACTGGGAAGTTATGTAGTAGCTATGTCTGAATTTTCAAAAAGCTCTTAACACCAGGACTTTGAAATGAGGTGTCGAAGAGATGTCATGCAGGCAGCTTCTCCTCTTACAGCATTTAGAAATAAGCGGGGAGATTCCTGGAGAAAGGGATATATCTTACCTGAAGAAGTCTCCTCGGAAAGATAGCTATCTAATACATACAGGTATGGAGAGGGATAGCCTGCTGTAGGGCTTCAGATGGAGTGTAGTGGTGAAAGCTCGTGCTTAGCGGTCTCCAGGCCAACGCTTGAATCCCAACACCCATCATCATAGTCGTGTCACCCAGCGTCTCTCAAGTTCTAGTCCTGGTTTATTGGTTGTATTAGCGATCACAGGCCCTTTGTAAGCCTACTGTCCATTGAGTAAAGGACCGGCAATGTGTGACTGGCCATCGAGTTAAACATTTGTGAAGATGATTTCCTCAGCTATGAACTGCAGCTTCTATTGAAACTCTGAAGGACAAGTGTGCACTCACAACTAGCAGATTTATTGTGCAGCAACCGAAGGTCCAGAAAGGACTGGGTGTCGCCAGCACCCCCAGGTGGGGGGAGGGCTTTCCTTAATCGTGATTAAAGCTTATCTCTGGCCTTTTCCTCACCAGCCTGCTTTTGTTTGTGTAAAGAACTGGATCACAAGAAATCGAGTCTGTCCTGAGCTCACCACTCACATTCTTTTTTCATCCTGACTGGTTTGGTCACAATATCAGCTAACTTTCTGGGCCACAGACAGGACATTTCTCTTGTGACATGGAAAAGCATCCGACTCAAGTGGATGAAAGAGAGCTCTTTTCATGCTGCTCACAGCTGCCTTGCCTTTGCAGCATTTTTTGTTTCTTTTCCCCCTCCTTCATAGCCGTCAGCTGGTCACACACATTTGGTGACTGTCTCGACTTTCCTTACTGCCAAACCAGCACAAGTGTTAGAATCACTTGTCCTTGCAAAAGAATCGTCACAGCTGTGTAGTCTCTTTTCCTTCAAGATCAGTTAGAGTGTGTTCAGTAGTGAGGTGCTTGTGCGTTGTTCTGAAGACTTAGGTAAGGACCACCCTTCTCTCCACTGCTGTGCGAGAGAAGTCGGTAATTCACTTGTGTGCCTGCCTGTGTGTTTGTACTGTAGTTTGGTTTGTGAGTGGCAGCTGATTCCAAAACTGTGACTAGTTTTTATCGTAAGTTGGGTGGCTCTAGACCGTAAGCTTGGACTCAGATCTGTCGGCCTCCTGAGTGCTGGGAATAAAGCTGGCCACCACTACACCTGGCTGTTTAACCTGTTTCTACGATTTTCCTGCAGAAATTGTGTCTAGGAAATATCTTCAGTTGAAAGTGTACAGATGACATTGGGTATTTCAAGTCTGTCCTAGTATAAAATATTCCAGGGTTAACTGTGTGCACTGCTAGTTGCTTTCATTTAAAAGTAATAGCTTAAGGGAGACCAACCTAAGTTAACTAGTCTATTACATAAATGTGTGAAGCTACCAAATAATAAAAAATAATAATAGTGAAAGATGTGTTAGAAGAAATCGTTCAAATGGCTTAGATTTTTTGTTTTGTTTTTCCCCAGACAAGTTTTCTCTGTGTAGCCTGTGCCGTCCTGGACTCCCTTTGTACACCAGCCTGGCCTTGAACTCACAGTGATCTGCCTGTCTCTGCCTCGATTAATGCTGGGATCAAAGGCATGCCCGGCTGGCTTAGATGTTTTTGACATGTTAATATTTCAGATAAAATGGATTTTGTTCTTTTAGTGTTCATAACCACATCTGTGCACTCTGGTTTCAGCATAAGATTGGTGGTGATTTAGTTGGTGTTTTAAAATTATTTACAATGTTAACAACTCTCTCTTAAAGTATCTCCTTTGCTTTGAGTTAAGAGACCGGTACCCTATCAGCACTGTAATTAGAGTTTAATGTTGGACTGTCTGCATTTACTGTCTCCTGGAAGTTCAGTTTAGTAACTCTCAAAGGTAGCAGTCCAGTGTTGTGTCCCTGAGGAAGGGCTGAGGAATGAGGAAGTGCGGCACTGAGTTTAGAATACTCTGTCCCTTGCCAGTCCAGAGCTTGTTCTAAAATGGATATTCAAAGTCAGCCTAGAATTAAGTTCTGGACTCTCAAACTCAACCTCCTCGGGAATCTAGTCCTACCCAGGAAGTAGGGGAGCAGCAAGCAGGGCAAGTATTTGAATCTTCACAGGTGGCTGGGTGGAAGTGCAACCTTAACTTCAGGTTCCTGTTAGGACATTACATGGGAGAGCAAAGGACAGCTAGCCCACAGCCCAGAGGTAACATGGTGAGGAGGGGTTCTCTCTCAGAGCCTAGTTCGATCTCTGAAGGATTCAGTCATCCTTTAGTCAGCAGACCAGGCGGTCTGACTGCCACACTGTTCCAGGCTCTAGGGAAACAAAGAGAGGGGAAACAAGTGCAGAGGTGATTGACTTACCCAAGGTCATGAAGGTAACTAACACCTTTAATCCCAGCACTTGGCAGAGGAGGTGAATCTGAGTTTGAGGCCAGTCTGGTCTACAGAATGAGTTTGAGGACAGCCCCAGGGTTACACAGAGAAACCCTGTCTCAAAAACAAAACAAAACAAAAATCTAGAAGACACACCTTTTTTCTCTAAAGACAAACATTTTGTTGTACATTACAGCATAGTCACAGTCATCGCAGGTGTTTCAGCGAGATTTTTATGTCACTTTTTAGCACTGAGGATTGAACCCAGGACTTTGTGCATGTCAGGCCAATGCTCCACTACACCCAGCCACGTACCAGCACATGTCCCTTTTAATCACATCAGTGAGAATGGCATACGTGCCCCTCCCCCACTTTGGGTATTAACGACATATGAATTAAAGTTAGATTCTTGGGGTATTGTGAATTATCTGGAAACAAGCTTGCTAACCCCATTATCATATATGTCCTGTAAATAGATGGGAGGTTTATTAAGATGGAATTTTTTTTTTTTTTAAACCGAGTTTCTTTGTGTGGCCTTGGCTTTCCTGGATTTGATTTGTAGACCAGGCTGGCCTTGAACTCGCAGAGATCTGCCTGCCTCTGCCTCTCAAGTGCTGGGATTTCAGCACTGGGGTTACTTGCATGTTTGTTTGTTTAATCATTGGTTTGTGCACCACCACAGTCAGCTTAAGATGGATTCTTCAGGTGCTGTCCAAAGAGTTGGGAGACTCCTAAGCAGGATGGGGTTTCTATAGAGTACTCTGTATCCAGTATGGTTCTTTAATTCTGCTGGCCAGAATCCTCTTTGGAGGTACTAAACGGATTCACCCTGTTGTCCTCTAGTTTAAACAACCCTGTCTCTTTGGTTAGAGTATTGGTTTGACTAGACCAGCGTCTGCATTGAGTTCAGATGTAATGAGAATTCTCACTGTGAAACTGTCATCTGCTTTTATTTCAGGATTAACCTCTGTTTCCCCTCATCATGGGAGAGATCAAAGTCTCTCCAGATTATAACTGGTTTAGAAGTACAGTTCCCCTTAAAAAGGTAAGTATGGTTTTACTGCGTTTCATGGTCACAAAAGCTGATATTTGTATGTGGTGTAGAAGCTGTGTGCCTTTAGTATTGTATGAGAGTGTACACTGATGCCAATACCATGACTAGATGTTACAGAGGGTAAAGTTCATCCGCTGCCTGTCACATGCAGTCAGCTCTGGAGGGTCACGATTTTCTTGTTTGCAATTCCTCTTACCTACTCAACTTCAGATAATGTAATGAAATACAACGTCATCCAGATAGTAAGTAGTCATTTCTGTTTCCATTCCTGAAACTTACTAGAGCTCTGTGTGCAGTGATGCTTTCTTAATTACTTGCCTTTTATTGTGACAAAATACCATGACCAAGGCAACTTATAAAAGTTGGTATGGGGGTTATGGTTTTAGAGGGTTAATTGGAGCTTTTGACTATCATGGCAGGGAGCATGGTAGGCAGGTGTTGTGCTGGAGCAGTGGCTGAGAGCTTACATCCTCATCAACAGGCATGAGGTAAAAAAAAAAAGACATACTGGGAATCTTTTGAAACCTCAAAGCCCATCCCTAGTGACACACCTCCTCCAACAAGCCACACCTCCTAATATTTCCCAAACAGTTCCACCAACTGGGGACCAAGTATTCAAACATATGGAGACCATTCTTATTCTAATGCCATAGAGACGTACTTACTCGGCCCTAGTCATCCTCTGGAGCCCATTTGCTTAGGATGAGTGTGAACCCCCAATAGTTCAGTTCAAATTTGCTATTGACTATGAGGCCCATGTTAATCCTAGACAAAGGCTGTTCATATCACAGAGGGAAATGTTTGCTGATCCCTCTGCAGCCGTATTAGAATACTGTGATCTTGGGATCGTCTGTGCTATGTTATAATTTTTTTAGCGAGACACAGCTAAGAAAGTATTGTGCAAGTCTGAATTTATGTAGAAATCTTAAGTACATTTTGCCCAGGCATAGGCTGCCTGCTAAGAGGCCCAGGTACCTTACTTAATTCTTAACAACAGTTTGACACAGTGGGTGCCAGGGTCCATATTTCACAGATGAGAAACCTGAGGTTTATGGTGTTATTAGAATACTAGAGATCACATTGTCTACTAGACTTTGACCTAAAAATCAAATTAATCCACCTTCAAAGTTAGACAGACTTGGTCTGCTTACAAAGGGAGCTCCTTTTACTTTTTGCTTACTGGGAGGCCATTGGCAGCATTGAATAAATGGGGTCTCTCCACCTCATCCTTTCAAATAACTCCCATGAACTCTTGGTAAACTTACCCTCTCAGCAAGCTGATTATCAGCCCCAAGACACCCAGACTGACCTAAATATTCTTAGAAATCATTTCATTGATAGTTTTTTTTCCCCCCACTTGTCCAACATGATAAATTTGCTTGAAATTTTATCATACCCTGATTTTAAGTTGTCAAGCAGAGCATGGTGGCTTAACTCTTTTTTTTTTTTTTTTTTTTTTTTTTTTTTTTTTTTAATGTGCTTTAGTGTAAAGGTGTCAGATCCCTTGGAATTGTCATGTGGGTGCTGAGAATTGAACCCTGGTCCTTAAGAGCAGGCAATGCTCTTAACTACTGAGCCATCTCTCCAGCCCCCACAGAGCCTGGTGGTAATGACACATGTCTTTAATCCCAGCATTCAGGAGACAGAGGCAGGTGGATCTCTGAGTTTGAGGCCAGCCTGGTCTAGAGTGAGTTCCACGACAGCCAGGGCTACACAGAGAAACCCTGTCTTGGAAAAAAAATTGTCATCAGATACTGTGTGTTCTAAAGAAGTTCTGATGAAACTGCCCTTCAGAGAACTAGAGGAAGTTGAGGTTAAATCCCCTTAGGTATTTATGGCTTATGTTCAGCAGGCCCTGTCACTTCAGAGAACATGCTGTTTCATGACAAATGTGCATAAGCTACTCTTTCAGAACCTAGAATTTGTGTTACTTTCCTTCCACGTTAGATTATTGAAACAAAACCGTGGAAGATTGAGATCTGTGTTTTTCTTACATGATTTTCGAAGACTGGGATTTGTTATGTGGGCTGAAAGGTCATAGGGTTTTGTTGTTTGCTGCTTTTAAAACCACAGTCATAGGGAACCGATATATGGGAGTGAAAACAAAGGGCAAAACACAAAGGTCAAAAACATGAGATAGATTGTCACCATCTGGGGAAGGCCCAACACAAATTATTGGGATTCCCTGGACTTTGCCTTGTCCCATTTGTCAGCTCTTGGTGACACCAGTGACCCTGGGTAGTCAGCTCCTACCCACAGAGGGCCACTGTGGAGTCCACAGTCCCACTAGCTGGGAGCACTCAGGGAAAAAAAAAAGGGTAAGTAATGATTTCAAGTGACAGGTGCTGATGCAGTGAGGTATAATAATAACCAGCCGGCATCGAAATTGTGCAAAGCGCTCGCCTCGCCTCGTTTTGTGTGCTTTCTTCCCTGTCAGGTTAAGAACACTACATGACAAAGGCTCTGACAGCCTCCTCCACCTCCCTTTCCTAAACAATTCGCTCTCTCCCACCACCCACCCTCAAGTGAATGGTTTGAAGCATTTCCTGGGACAATGACACACACATATACTTACTTGGTCCTTCATCTGTCGATGAAATCCCCTCTTCCCGTTTGGATCCTGAAGCACCTAGGGTCTGCCTAGCTCTCCCCAAAGCCTGGATTCTCAGTTCTTCCTGGCCTGGCCTGGTCAGTCTCTGACTCTGCTGACCCCAGCCAGTCCTCTGGGACAGCACTCAAGAATAAGTGAAACTGCCCTTATGTACGAACACACACACACACACACACACACACACACACACACACACACTATAAAATGCCATGCAGGGTTTACTGTTTACTGGTAAACAAAACAGACTTCCTGTTATTCTAGGTAGATAAGCAAGTTAAAAAATGGCTGTTTGTGAAGCACACGGAAGAAGGGGAAGGAAAGCAGTTTATTGCAGTCTGTGATCCCCAAGTTGCCCTGTAACACACGGGGCAGCTCTGTTGAAGTTGCCGTGACTGTATAAGCTGGCGCCTTCAAACCCCCAGTTCATGAGGATTTCCTTTCTCTTTCCCTCCTGACGTTCCCTCCAGATAATCGTAGATGACGACGACAGTAAGATATGGTCGCTGTATGACGCTGGCCCCAGGAGCATCAGGTGTCCTCTCATCTTTCTTCCTCCTGTCAGCGGAACTGCAGATGTGTTTTTCCAGCAGATTTTGGCTTTGACTGGATGGGGTTACCGAGTTATAGCTGTAAGTATGGCCACTTCAGCCCTGAAACTCAGATCGTGGGGCTTTGCCCTTCTGTTTCAGACTAACTATAGCAATGAGAACTTTTTATTTGAAGTAAGATTATAGTTTCCTGATTTATTTTTCAATCTCGCAGCCCTTTATTTTTCTTATGATGCATCAAACCCATGGCTGAAAGAGTTCCACACCACTAAGCTGTTTTATTTTTCACTTAAAGTATCCTCAAGGTGTCATAAAAAAAAAAAAAAAAAGGCTTTTTATTTATCAGTATTATTTAACAGAGTTAGGACTTGATGGGTGTTTATGGGAAGGTTCTGTTGCTTGTGACAAAGGTTGTGATGCCTGTGTATCAGCACAGGAAGCCTTTGTATAGCTGCAAAGGCTTCTGGGACCTGCAGTGTTATGTTTCCCAGCTCCCTGTGGGATGCTGCTGTTGTGATCCATGTCAGTCACTGAGGGAGAGAAAGTGGCTTCTGTTGGGAGGGCATTAATTACTTTGCATGCACCAAACAGGAGCAATGTAAGGAGGGAAGGGTTTATTTGGCACCCAGTTCAAGGGTCATCGTGGAGATGTCAAGGCAGCAGGAGCCTGAGGCAGGTGGTTATGGTTGCAGCTGCAGTTGGCGGCAGAGAAAGAATGAGGGTGCTCAGCCACTTTCTCCTTTCTATGTTCGGTCTGCCCAGTCCGCAGAATGGTGCTCCACATGATCACTCGGTTTTCCCACCTCAGCCTAATGCAGATAACCCTCACCACCGTGTCACAGGCTGTCTCCGAGTGAGTCCAGATCCTCCAGTGACCCTGGGTAGTCAACTCCTACAGAGGGACACTGTGGAGTTCAGGAGCCAGTATAAGTCATCAGAGAAGGAGACTGGCTTCCACATAAGAGGACTCATCGCACAAATCCAAGTTCTCTTTCTCCTGACAGCCCTTCTCGTGGGAGAACAGTTAGCATCAGGCCTTTTCTCTGGCTTCGTCTCTCATTTATTCTCTCCTTCCTCAGATAGCGTGAGTCTCTGTGGCTAATCTTCTTGGGTTCTGGGTGTTCAGTCATCCTTCACACACAGCACCCCCAGAGAGTGAGCACCCCAGCCCTCCACAGCCATGGGGGGAGCCTGAGCCGCCCTCAGCAGCTAGAAAGCGAACACTGACAGGGCTTCCTCCCTAAGACTGGCAGGTCTCAGAGGCCTTAGATTGCTATGATTTTCTTTGCCATTGAGGTTCTTTTGTTTTGGTTTGGTTTGGGATTTTTTGTTTGTTTGGTTGGTTGGTTGATTGCTTTTTTGTTTGGTTGGTTTTGGTTTTGTTTGGTTGGGTGTTTGTTTTTGTTTTTCAAGAAAAGGTTTCTCTGTGTAGCCCTGGCTGTCCTGGGACTCCCTCTGTAGACTAGGGTGGCCTCAAACTCAGACATCTACTTTTGCCTCCCAGCTGCTGGGTATGCCACCATGCCCAGTTTGTTTTGTTTTGTGTGAGACAAATTCTCTGTAGGCGTGGTTCTCCTGGAACTAGCCATGCTAGGCTGACCTCAAACTCACAGAAATCCACCTGGCCTTGCCTCCTCAGTGCTGGGATCCAAGTTGTGCATCACCACACCCTGCAGGTTCTTTTAAAATTACGTTTGTCTGTTTGTTTGTTGTTGCCAGAGGACAACTGGCAAGAGTCGTTTCTCTCTACCCTGTGGATCCCAGGAATCAAATTCCCATCAAGTCTCAGGCTTGGTGGGAGGCTCCTCTACTTGCTGAGCCATCTTTCCAGCCCACTGTCCCCATCTCTTTAGCCATAGTGTGGTTACAGAAAAGGCCAGTAGTATCTCCAAGCAGGCTGGCAAGATAACAGGTGGACAGAGCCCTTGCTGGACAAGGCAAGCACCTTCACCTGCCGAGCCGTCTTGCCAGCCTTTTTACCTTGTATTTTAAGGTAGAGTCTTTCACTGAACCGGACCTCGTAGTTCAGCTAGATTAGCTAGCTAGCGAATTTTTGGGATCTGCATACACCCCTCCAAAACCATCACTGGGGTTACAGACACACATCACCTACCAATTTCTACGTGGGTGCTGAGAATCCTTCATGCTTGTGCCCCACGTGCTTCACTCACTGAGCCACATCCCTAGCCCACTTTTGATTTTAAGCGAATTTCTCATTGACAGCCACAAAGTACTGTTTGTAGTATTCGTATGTTGTAGAGTCTGTTCATTCACCATATGTTGCTGCATGGCCCTACCTGCAGGCCCCTGTTACTTAGTAATGTGTGTCTTTTGAGATGCTAATGTAAATTAACATTTTTCTTGTTTTGAGAGAGAGAGCGAGAGCGAGCGCGAGCACATGCATGCTCACCAGAGGGGTTGGGTTCCTGTAACTGGACTCACAGTCGATTGCGAGCTGCCCAGTGTGGATGTTAGAAGACTGAGCTGTCTCTCCAGTCCTAAGGATGTTAATTAAAGTCTACTGATTTTATTCAGATTTGCTCTTGTATACAACTTTATCACTTGCATAGGGCATTGATTTTGGTTTGGTTTGTTTGGTCTTCAGGGATTAAACTCAGAGCCTTGTATACACTGAGCGTATGGTCTGCCACTCATGCCCTAGTTTAGTGTGAAGACTGTCAAAGCCTTTACAGATACACCTCCTTTGGTATCATCTACATCCTATTCCGGAAGCCTTATTCACAAATAGGATTTTATAATAAAACATATCAAAGCCACAGCACTATCTATTCAAAGTGATTTTTTTTTTTCAATGACAATATGAAACAACAAAATGAGACTGTCAGGTAGATTTTATATATATATTTTTTTAAATGAGGAAGCTGAAGGTAGATAACCTCATGGAAAGAGAGAAAGAAAGAAAAAGACAGGCATACACAGTCCCTAAGTCCCATCCCTAGCACCCCCCCCCCCCACACACACACACACATACACACGGAGAAATTCTTAGGAGAAAAGTCTCAGTCCCTAGAAGCAGACAGGCTTTTTAGGGTCAGGTGTCATACTTTTTTTTTTTTTTTTTTTTTGGCCTTAAGTCAAAGTACAGAAAACAGAAAAACTAAGAAGACTGCAAAGGATCATTTTATTGAGCAATTCCTTAAAGAAATGCTACTAAAATGTCAGGGGAAGGCTTTTAGAAAAGATTTTACTTCCAGTTCTCTGGTCTCTTTGAACCTCATGCTCAATTTAGAATGAAATTGGCTTTCTTTATCTGGATGGTTTCTGTAGTTGTTCTTGACCCTCAGACTGTTTGGAAAGAAAATTAATGTGATTGAAATTGTGTGTAGCTGAAGTGATGGATGGCTCAGTGGTTAAGAGCACTGGCTGCTCTTCCAGAGATCTCAGGCGTAGTTCTCAGAACCAACATGGCAGCTCACAACCATCCATAACCACAGCCCCAGGGGATCTGACACTGCTTCTGGTCACCACTGGCAACCACGCGCATCCGGCTTTCAAACACAAACACATAAATAAAGACAAAGTTTTTTTGTTGTTGTTGTTGTTTTTTTTTTTTTTGTTTTTTTGTTTTTTTTTTTTTTTTTTTTTTTTTTTTTTTTTTTTTTTTTTTTTTTTGACAGGGTGGTTTCTCTGTGTAGCCCTGGCTGGCTTGGAACTCATTCTGTAGCCCAGGCTGGCCTCTAACTCAGAGATTCTTCTGAGTGCTGGGATTAAAGGTGTGCACCACCACTATACAAGATATATCTTTTTAAAAAATTAGAATTTTTAAAATGGTCTTATTTTTCACATACTTGAATAAGAAGCAAAGCTTGGACAATAGGAAATGTTATGTGATTCCTAAACTTTTCAAATATGAGCTGCATTTTAAGTTTTTCACATAAATTAAAATTTTTATTTCAGTTGCAGTATCCCGTTTATTGGGACCATCTTGAATTCTGTGATGGATTCAGAAAACTTTTAGACCACTTACAATTGGATAAAGTGAGTACCCTAAACTAATAACTTAACATGAGATTGTAATGTGCATCTTGTAAAGGCTGAGGTTGTCTTTTATTTTTTATAATAGCTTTATTGTGATAGAACTCACATATCACACAGTAGACTGAAAGTAGACAGTCATTTGTTTTAAATTTGTAGATATATTTGTAGTTGTCAGTACTGTCAACTTTGGAGCATTTTTTTTCATCCTCCAAAAAAGGAAATTTATTGGACCAATGAAGACGGTAAAGGCACTCGCCACCAAGCCATCCCAGGAAGAGAACTCATTGCTGTAGGTTGTTCTGGGGCCAGTTGTGGGGTTCTCTATGACTACCAAGGCTAGCAAATAATAGTCTTAGAGAGATAAGGCAGTTAGGGTCAACACAACTCAGTAGCCACTGAAGAGTCTGACACGGGCAGTTTATTTTAGGCATATTTAAGCACAGCACAATATGAAAAACTGTTCCCTGGGATAATTAACTCATCCTGTGTGCACAACAAAGCTTAAGGCATGACTACATCAAAACTTTCCGTAAAGATGGGTGCTATAGATTGACTACATGTGACATCTTAAGGGTCGCCTCAGGGGGGTCTGCTGTGGTCTCAGCAGAGAGGTCACTAGGCTGTTAGCCACCCCCCCAGCCTTCTGGGCGGAAGACAGGTTACGTATCTCTGCCTTTGAAGAGACAACCTGCGTGTTCAATATTTTTGGCTTCCCTGGTGCTTATCTATGAACCTCTGTGCCTCTTGCTCCCGCTTACCTCCAAGCAGGCCAGGACATCTGTGTGTCTGTGTCTACACACACAAACACACATCATTTTTCCCTGATGCAAATAGAAAAGTTACCAGCAGTCATTGCCCGTCTTTTAATCTAGCTCTGCAACCAAATCTGTTCTATCACTATGACCTTATCTGGTCTGGACATTTTACCTAAGTGTGATCATATAGGATGTGTGTCCCTTTGTAACAGGCTTATTCTGCATACCGTAATGTGTCTGAGGCTATTTCCATTGTAGCATGTGTCAGCACAGGTTGAGTATTTCTGTCTGAAATGCTAGACATGGCGTCTCAAATTTTGGAGCAGTAGCATGCATTTTACTAGTTGAGTGTCCCTGATCTGAAGATCCAAAATGCTATAAAATCTAAGATTTTATCTATGTCCTCAAAAGGTTTTGGTTTCAGAACATTAGATCATTGTTTTGTTTTTGTTTGAGACAGTCTCCTGTAGCCCAGGCTGGCCTCAAGCTCACTATGTAGATCTTCTACCCCTTAAATGCTGGGAGGATCAGAGGCATGAACCATCACTCTCTGCAATCAGCAGGGCTGGATCCTAGAAACCTGACTGAGGTGATGAGGGAACGAAGAAAGGAGAGACACACATACAGAAAAGCTGGGACCAGAGGGGACCAGCAGCTGATTTATCAGTGGGTTTATTGTATACTGCTGAGCAAGGAGGCAGTTTTATTAATTATTTACTATTATACAGCCGAACAAGGAGGCGGGTTTTGCTAATCTCAGTAGAATATAGACAGGAGCAGTTTCAGGTTACGGCCATCTGGGCGGAGGAAGCTGAGGTTGATAGCGTCTGCACACTGACAGCTGAAACACTGCTCCTAGCTGAAGGTCAGTTTTCGTCAACACTGGTCCACAGGAAGGCTTTGCCATTGCCATGGGTCACGTCGGTGGTGCACATTGACTCACCTCTGCTCCCACGGCCATACCCAGTTCGCTGTTTGTTCCCTAAAACTGTGTGACTGTGTGCATGGATACACGTGCTAGCAGAGGGTGTCCCATGTCCTGTCACTCTCTGCCTACTCCTTGGAGGAGGGATCTAGGCTACAGGTATGTGCAGAACACCAGCTTCTCACATGGCTGTTGGGATCCACTCTGCAGCAAGCGCTCTTAACTGCTGAGTTGTGTTTCCAACCTTCAGTGCATTGTTTTCTTGATAGGGTATATACATTTATTCAAGTAAAATATTTGTTAAAATTATAACTGCTGTAGATATTTCAACCTGCTAGGTAATGATGACGTATTCTGTGATTAACAACAATTAAAGCAACTCAGTGTTTTAGGATCTGCCTTCCATTTGTTTATAATTAGGTCCATCTGTTTGGGGCGTCTTTGGGAGGCTTTTTGGCTCAGAAATTTGCTGAATACACTCACAAGTCCCCTAGAGTGCACTCCCTCATCCTCTGCAATGCCTTCAGTGACACTTCCATCTTCAACCAAACATGGACTGCAAACAGGTAAGAGCAGGCATACGGAAATGGTGGCTTGGGGGGAGTGTTGATGCAGTGGGGATAGAGGTGCACAAGAAAAGGATGCCATCAAAGAAGGAATTCAGCTCTTCCGTTTTCCCAGTGTGCATTAGGCATGTGGTCGTGTCTTTCACAGTGGTACAGTGGTACAGTGGTCTGCTGTGGTACAGTAACAGACATGACTCTGTCTTGTGAGATCAGTTCTCTAAACTGACCAGCTTCCTGTGGATGTCCCATTTTCTGTCTTGCTCTGCTGTAAATCTTCCATTTGTGTTCCTTCTCCTTTGTGTTACTGCCCTGAGGGTGATTGCTGGTGGGAAGACAAGAACATTTAGTCCATGGTGGTGTGATCATGACACTTGATGTCCTGTTTTCATTAAGGTATCAGGTTCCTCTCAACCGTCCTTTCATTGATTTTCTTGTTTGTTTTTCCAGACAGGGTTTCTTAGTGTAACAGAGCCCTGGCTGTCCTGGAACACATGTTGTAGACCAGGCTAGCCTCGAACTCACAGAAATCTGCCTGCCCCTGCTTCCCAAGTGCTGGGATTAAAGACATGCACCACCATGCCTAGCCCTTCCGTTGATTTTAACCTTTTATTTTTAATCTTTGTGTGAGTGCGAGCTTGTAGCAGTCAGGACAGCTTGGGTCCAGTGCTGTATCCCCAATGCTGGGTTGGCAGGGCTGGAGACAGAATGCTTGCTAGCCAGACAGCCTAACCTAATCAACAGTGAGCGCCAGCGTCAGTGAGAGACCTTGTCTCAAGAGACTGTGACAGAGAATGGTAGAGGAGGACAGCTGTGTCCTCCAGAATGTACCACACACAAAGTCCTGTTCTTTAGGCCTTTCTTCTCTTTATCAATACATGAAGGTTTACATTGAGATGAACTTGAGGAACCAGAGATCCAGTTAGAACGGAGCTGTCAGCAAGCCCAGCAGCCTTCTGCTCTGCTTTATGAAGCAGCTTTCCACTTGCTAGGTTATCCCCCTGGTGGCCGTAACAGTAGATTATGGTCACCTAGGGACGCTGAGCAGCTGCTAGTAACTGTAGCCTTTTAGCAACCTGCAGTCTCTTGGCTAAGCTCTCACCCTAGATGACACTTTGTGCCTGCTGAGCCGTTGCTCTAACGCTGGTTTTCTCATAATGCTTTGCCATGTGCCCAGCCCAGCAGTAGGCAAAGCCTGATCAGAGAGGCCCAGGTGGCTGACAGTACTAGTTCAATAGTTTAGAGGCAGTTACGTGTGTGTGTGTGTGTGTGTGTGTGTGTGTGTGTGTGTGTGTGTGTATCAGAGACATCATTTGAGAACAGAGTGGTACAACTCACTACAGAAGTACCTCACCTCTTACACTGGGACTGGCTGGTAGAGTGGCTGAGTAGTTTCCCTTTCTCATCTTCAATAAGATTTAGGAGGGAATTTGCACAAAGCTTGTCCCAAGGGTTTCATGCATGCCAGGCAAGTGTTCAGACAATGAGCTCCACATCCAGCCCTCAGGATGCAATTCTTTCTAGACTGTAATGTCACCTAAAAGCTTCATGGTAGAAACAGGCTGTGGTGATACGTATTTGTCATCCCAGCTCTAAGAAAACTGTAGAAGTTGTCATGAGTTTGAGACCAGTCAGAGCTACATGACAAGAGTCTCAAACCACAAAAACAAAAGCCTCATACAGTGCTTTTACGTAAAACCCATAATTGGCATTCCAAATTCTGCAAAGGAAGAAAACAAAAACAGCCACTTACCCCACATCCAGGCAGTTGCCGCCTGGACTTGTTTAACCACTGACAAATGTTTTCTTGCCTCTAGGACAATTTTCAAACTATGGGCCACGACCCTTTTGGCAAACGTCCATCTCCAAAAATATTTACATTATGATAGTAACAGTAGCAAAATTGGAGTTATGAGGTAGCAACAAAAATACTTTTATGGTTTGGGGTCAGCACAACCTGGGAAACTGTGTGAAAGGGTCGCAGTGTTAGGAAGGTTGAGAAGCACTGCATCTAAGATAAAACAGGGTGTAAGTGGGTGAGTTGTGTGAGTGAATGTGGCTTAGTGCAAGACAGTTTGTATCCACAGTTGGCTAAATAATTCAGTCACTTCAATGTTGGCAAAGCTCTGCTGAGCAGAGCCACCTAAACACAAATAGTTCCTGGGATTATTTCCTCCTGGAGCTGTGAAAGGGGTTCCTGTAACCTACGGGCAGTAGTTGTCAGCAGAGTGGATGGTACTGGGGTGCAGGTTCCTGACAGTCTATTTCCCTTAGACCTTGACACTCAGTTGAAGGTAGTTTTTCGAGTGTTGATGTTATATGGAGCCTGGCAGGCTTTTATTTGTATTAAAATTTTTACTTTTACTTTTTTTTTTTTTTTAAGACAGATCTCACTAAACTCAGACATCTGCCAGCTTCCCCTCCCAAGTGTTGGTATTAAAGGTGTGCCATCAGGCCCAGCTAGTAAGTCTTGTATTAATGGACTCCAAGCAAGCACGTGGTGCACAAACAAACATTCAGATAAAGCACTTGCACATCACAGTGGGACTTTTGGACCGCCAGTGGTAGAAATGGCGACACAGAGGCTTTTGCATATTTTAATGCTTAGTCCTTTTAGCTGGGCAGACGGGCTTTCCCAGACAGGCTTTCTAGCCTAACCTGACTGACTTCATCCGTGCTGCATCGTTTCACCACATGGCCAGCTCTCCATCTCTGCTCCTGTTGACCTTCGTCCATTCTCCCTGTTCACTGGCAAATCTGCCACCTTTGCTTGCTTCTCCAAATGCTGTGCCCCCTTCCCCAGAAGTTCTGCCCTCTACTTCCCGCCCCGCTAATGGCCGTCAGACCTTTAGTACATCCAATAGGCAACTGAGGAAGGATGAAGGTGTGATGGGCCACAGAAGTTAACAGCGCCAGGATTAGCCCTGCCCTTGTTTAAGGATCAGTCGTCAGATACGCAGCGACACTGCCACACAGTAACCCAACAGCACATGATGAAGTCTAATCACAGAAAGACAGGAGGTGTCATCCCTTCTTTTTCCAAGGTGCTGTTTGTGGTGAGGGCCTTTGCCCCTTTTAAGGCAGTTCTGACTGAAGACGTAAACTTTGTTTCCCTGTGAGCCCTGTCTGGCCCCTCCCAGGGCCGTACCTGTGTCCAGTGAGTTCAGGTCTGTTCAGCTGGACCTTGGTGCTGAGTTGTCCTAATGAAAAGGTTACTTGAGCATGTGGGGTACAGAGGTTGTCTTGTCCCTGAAGGGAATTGGGCATTCCAGCATCTGTAAGAAACTGCTCTGTGCTGAGAGTTCCAGGATAGCATTCTGAAGGTTACAAAAGTGCATCCTCTGCCCTTCCCCAGACTCCCATCAGAAGAGTAGCCTGGTAGGTGTTTTGTTGTTTTTACCAACTTAGTATTTCAGTTCTGAACAAATAGTACCAGTGTCCAGCAGGAAATCAATTCATTGCCCACTGTCAGGTTTACCCAGGGCTCCTATGGGGCAGTTGGTATAGTGCCTTAAATTCCTTGAGCCTCTCTGTACCTGAGAACCTCCCCGTCTTTTTTCCCTGTCCTCATACCTTCACAGAGCACTCTAGTCTACCCCCCTCCTCCTCGCACTAGATGCCAGTCCTGTGCCTCAGGCACCTTAATTTTTGGAGAGACCTTTTCCTGCAGTCTAATGCCTCAGCCACCAAGCAAACCTACAGCTGCTGTGTATTATTAAGCTCCGTGTCACATCATCTCCCCTGGAACAGGTTTGTAGCAAGAGCTCCCTCAGTCCTTTATAGATTCCTCTTGTTTTTTTGTGTTGGGGGCAGAGATTGGCAGCACATATCTCCCTCCATCACTGTCTCACACAGAGGCAGAATCTCTCACTTGAACCCCAGAAATTTCTGAATAGCTATTCTTGCTAGCCATCTTGCTCTGGGAATCCCTTGTCTTCACTTTCCACGTGCTCACAGCATGCACTCAGGTACTTTTACAAACCTTTGAGCTATCTCCCCAGCCCTGTTTGTTGGTGTTTGTTTTGAGACAGGCTCTCATGTTTTCTAGGTTGGCTTCCAGCTCTCTGGGGGTGACCACTCCTGACCCTCTCAATGCTGGGATTATAGGCGTGGACCACTATACCCAGCTGATGCAGTCCTAGGGATTGAACCCAAGGCTTTTTGCATGCTAGGCAGTTGCTCTACCAGCTGAGCCACATCCCAGCCCTTACTCTGCTCTTCCATATCGTTCTCATGCCACATGTGTGGTGTGTGCTGAGATGAGATATACATAGTAAGACCCTATATGAAAACAAAAGAGGTCATGCTCACCTTAACATGTGTTGTGTTACCTCATGGTCAGCACCGATAGTGTCTAGGAACTGGAGTGGATCTTTGGAGTTTTGTAGCTCCTGAGTCTTGTTGAGTCTTCTGTTTCGGCACCCCTTCATCCCTTCCTAAAGCCTAATAGAGTGCATCTCCAATAATGTTCCAAAGGAGGCATTCCCCTTTCAGTTGGATGCCAGTATAGTCTCATCACTGAAATGGTTTCTTTGAGCCTCTGGGGAACTACTTAGGTTCCTCCAGCAGTTAGAGCTGGTGTCCCTCCTGCCTAGCCTCGTCAGTAAGACTCCCTTCATCTCCTGGTAACAGCCTGTACAATCACTGCATTGCAAAGATAGAGGTGAATTATTCCTGATCATCAGTCAGTTAAGCAAGCCCAGTGTTGTGACGTGCCCAGCACCCAAAGCCGTCCACGGGCATTGTCAAAGGGGAAGGCGGCTGCCCAACTTCCTCGATCTGGGTTCCTCTTGTGAGATATCCTTCACAAACTCTTATTTTCTAGGCTCTTAGGTGTCTCCTTGTCTTTCTTACACCGTTTAGAGCAATCTAAGCATTCTACTTTAGGACAAAGATTTTATTTTCCCAAACAAATTCTGTTTTTAACTTTCCTTTCAACAAAATATGTCTTCATACTTATACATTTCTTTGTATCTCTCTCTTGTGTTTCCTGGCTCCTTTCCTGCCTCCTTCCTTCCTTAAAATATAGTATCTTCAAGCCATGTGTGGTGGTGCATGGCTTTACTTGTGGAAGAAGTGGATTCAAGGCCAGCCTGGTTTATATAGCAAGTTCCAGGCGAGCCAGGGCTGTTGGATAGTAACAGCAAAATTTTATTTTAAAACAAACTTTACAAAATCTCTAAATTTAGACAAGATTTTTCTCAGTAAAATATATTTTATGATTTTGTAATTTTTTTCATCAAAAAAATACAAAAATTTCTTTTTGTAGTCTCTGCTTATATAGAATTACATGTAATTCTAATCTTAACTGTTAGTGACCCTGCTTTTGGGTGAAGGTCAAGAATAAAGCAATCTTAAATTGTTTCCCTATGTGCAAACAGTTTGGGAAAGCTTGTTTATTAACAGACCCAAATGATTTTCACCTTTGCTGATAGATTCGAGATATATCGGTCACTGCTGAGATTTACCCAAGTCATGTAAACCTAAAGACTCTAATTTCATGATCAGTTCTGTCTCATTTAGGTGTTCATTTATCTGTAAACCAACTTGAAGAATTTTTGAGACTTTTTCCTTTTCAGTCATTGTCTCCCCATGTTTGCCTGGCTAGCTTCACTCACTGTGTAACTTGGGCTGTGCTGGGCTCTGACTAGGCTCAGCTCTCCTCTAGATTCCAGGCATGCGGCCATGATGGCTTCTGTGCTGAAGGTTTGTAGGTCAGTCACCAGCCTCTGCCCTTGTTTTGCAGCTTCTGGCTGATGCCAGCATTTATGCTTAAGAAAATAGTTCTTGGGAACTTTTCCTCTGGCCCAGTGGACCCGATGATGGCTGATGCCATCGATTTCATGGTGGACAGGGTAAGGACCATGACACTCTGAACACTTTGACTGGGATTTTCCGTGTACATGTAAAAGGAAGTCTGTGTGTCTGTGGGTATGTGGAGGAGGTCTTTGTTAAGCGGTCCTCTGTGTTCACTTCAGTACTTCCAGGCAGACCCTATTGCTGGTGAGAGCTTAGCTCCTCCATCACTGTCTCCCAGCAGCTGCACCTTCAAATCCAGCAGGCGCTTAGGAAGTATGGTAATGCCTGTGGGGCCCAAACCCAGCAACCCAGCACTCAGGAGGCAGAGGCAGGCAGATCTCTGCGCTCAAGGCCAGCTTGGTCTATGAAATGAGTTCCAGGACAGCCAGAGATACACAGAGAAACCCTGTCTCAAAAAACAAAAAAGGAAACAGTGGATAATTTTAAGAGGCTGGAGAGATGGCTCAGTGGTTACGAGCGCTTGCTGTTCTAGAAGGTCCAAGCTTAGCTGTCAGCACCACCCTTGGTGGTGACTGTGCTGTAGGAAGATCCAGTACCTCTGCTCGCTGAGGGCAGCTGTGCGCATGTGCAAGCCCACATGCAGATGAACACGTCTTCTACGTCATAAGTAGAAATCTTAACCATCTTTCTAGCATATAATTTTTGTTTAAGAGTATGTACTGCCCTTCGCTTCCAAGTGCACACACATACAATATAGGCATAAAATTATGTCTTTATTTAAAAGTAACTATTTTTTTCATCCTGGCTGTGGTAATTATGCCTGTAACCTCAGCACTTTGGGAGGCTGAGACAGAAGGGTCTCCATCTTGAGGCCAGTCTGGGTAACACAGCAAGACCGTCTCCAAAACCAAAAGCTTCCAGTGCCCCTCCACACCCTGCATCTGCAGTTCTTGGGCAGCCCAGAATCTGGCTCCTTTGAGGTGGGGAAAGGCTTTGTTCTTTTTTGAGACAAGGAATCTGGTGGCCTCAGACTTCACCTCCTGAGTGTTGGGTTGCAGGGGTGTGCCGCCATGCCCAGCTGGACTCTGTACCACTCGGGTCAATCTGATAAGTGAGTCTGACTGGGCTCAGCTCTCCTCTGGATTCCAAAGGGCACAGAACCACAGGGCAGGAGATCCTGGAGGTCCTTGCACGCTTGTTCCTCACATTGGAGGTGCATAAATTAGTGTGCTGTGGCCAGAGGCACCTGGGTTAAGCAGACAATATGTGCTGAAGCCAAAAGACTACATTCCATTTGTAGAGCCTGACCTAGGTGTCACAATAGAAAAAGGACACCACCTGAGAGTCCCAGATCACAGTCTCTGATCCATTGTGTGTTCTCATTGTTGGCTTTTCCACCACACACATAAGCATTAATGTCACCTATGGACCTACTGTAAGTATAAAAACAAAATGACTGCAGACCCTTACCTGTGTCTGTCTCTTCCTGCAGCTGGAGAGTTTGGGCCAAAGTGAACTGGCTTCAAGACTAACTCTCAATTGTCAAAATTCTTATGTGGAACCTCACAAAATTCGGGACATCCCTGTGACCATCATGGACGTGAGTTTCGTTTGAAGTAATAGATAGGTGCTTGCCATTAGAAATGTAGTACGCCATGATGTAGTTATTTTGTGACACTACAATGCTTTTCAAACACGCCTTGGCTTTCTCAATTCCAAAGTAACCTGCTGCTTGTCCTAGACCTTTCCTCACAAGAGTGACCCTCATGCTGGTGAATGCCTGTGGTCTCAGCACTGCAGAGGCAAGAAGACACTAAAGTTGGAGACAACCTGGTTACATAGCGAGTTCTAGGCCAGCCAGGGGTAAATAGTCTCTCAGACTGGAGAGATGATGGCTCTCTTGAAGAGCACCCAGGCATGTTTCTCATCACTCACATGATAGCTCATAACCATCTGTTACTACAGTTCCACAGGATCTGATGCCCTCTTCTGGCCTCCTTGGCTATCAGGGATCTATGTATCAGACATTCATGCAGGACAAACGCCCACACGCATAAAATAAAGACAAATTTAAATAAGCATAGTAGTCCTTACCCGCTTTAGGGGTGTTGCTTTTAGGGTACTGGGAACAGAGCCCACAGCTTCCGTGTGCTCGGCCGGCACTCAGGCCTTTGGCTTGGTGTGTTTCTATTTTCTCACCAAAGACTCTCAACATTTCAGGTCTGGTGGCAAAGAGGTTTGCCTTACAGGAGTAGAGAATTTCTCTAAAGTAGGACTGGCAAGATGGCCCCTCTAAGAAGCCTGAGTTTAAGCCCAGAACTGTTTGATGGACAGTATCTCCCCACGCTCCATGTCCCAGCAGCTGCTGGTGACCGACAGTCAACTTTGTTTCTGTGAACTTGCTTGCTCTAGGTGTACCATTTGTCCAAGTCTAGACTGTCTCACTTAGCACACTGCTTTTAGGGTTGGCTGGAGCAGGGCTGGGAATATGGCTACTCACTGAGCATTTGCTGCTCTGACAGAGGACCTGAGCTCAGGTCCCCGCATCCACGTCTGTTTGCTCACAGTTGCCTGAAACTCAGCTCCAGGGGATCCAAAACCCTCTTCTGCCTTCTGAGGGCACTGTTCCCACATGCATGCTTATAGCCAAACAGAGATATGCACATGTACACATAATTAAAAATAAAAATCTAAAAAAGATTCATTCTGGAAAGATGGCTCAGCGGTTCAGAGCAGTGGCTGTTCTTACAAAAGACCTGGGTTCTATTCCCATCTCCCACATGACAGTACACAACCATTGTTTCTGTGTGTGTCTGTGTGTGTGTGTGTGTGTGTGTGTGTGTGTGTGTGTGTGTGTGTGT